AAAAAAATGGAGCTAAATTGGAAAAAAATACTGCTTTGTTAAGAGCAGCTTCTAATGTGACTTATAAATTAAGATTAAGTGATTACTACAGGATTTATTAATCAGGAACCAGGTGTGAATCTTCTTAAGTATTGTAATTCTAATATAACATAATCAAGTTTATGAACATTTAAGCTAGCTTCCCCAACCTCAAGAATTATAAACAAATGCCCTTAACATTGTAAATAAGCAATCCAGAAAAGAAATTGAATATGTAAAAGCGAGATGAACAGCAAATAAGGACTCCGGACCCAACATAGTTGTGTTCACTCTGATAAAGTCGATGAAAAAGGGCATAAGTTCTTCTTTACGATATGGAAGAGATTTTTCAGGGAAATTAAAGAAAATTTCATCTACATTTTTGTGGTACTAGAAGTACTAAACATACCCAGCGAGATGGAACAAGGATTGAATGATCATATACATTTAATGAATAAAAAGATGGAATAAGGATTGACTGATCATATCCATTTAATAAATAATGGATGTCAGTAAACTTTCATTAGCAAAAATGGGTAAAATTCGTTTTAGTATTTGCAGGTAAAGAGAAAATCACTACAATTTCGGCTTCCTAGAGTACATGTGAAGCAATGCAGAAAGAAAACAAGTCAAATCAAAGCAATAAAAAAATTAATGGCACACCTTTGACTAATTTGTTAACATCTCTTTGGCCCTCGCTTTCTGCAAAGAAAATAACCCGCGAAGGTATGGAACCCGGCCACCATTTTGGCAGCTTTTCCTGTATATTGTTCTTCTTATCCATCAAGGTCGCTCTACTCCTTAAATCTTTTCCTCCCACAGTAGAAAGGGGATTCACCAAACCCTTAAAACCTCTCCGCTCAGACTCGCGCATCCTATCCCTCCTCCCGACAACCACTTCCCTACCCCCTAGACTGCGGTCCCTTCGCGTTACCGACCAACCAACAAAAACCCAACGGTGTCGAAAAGACCAAAGCCATAATAAAAACCTCAACGCAAAGATGGCAATAAAGCTCCAGATGAACAAATTCCCAAAAAATTGAAGCGAAGACCTCCGACAGGAGAACACGATTCGACTACCTCGATCTACTCTCAGGGAAGTTTTCAAATCATTGTAGGCCTCGACACCGGAGGCAAAGAACCGATCGATCTTGGCCTCGGATGAGCGGAAATGCCGCTTGATACTCGCCAACGTACGAGCTGAGAGATCGTTTAAATCGAAGCAGAACTCGACGTTTCGGTCAGGATCGATGGGTTTCTGGCGAAGGCGTTGGTCCGTCGGAGGAGGACGGCCGCGGGGTCGGCGGAGGATAGAAGAGATGTGGAGCGAGAGAGGTGAAGCCCAAAATTTAAAAGGAGAGGAATAAGCTAAAGAAGCTAAATTTATTCTGCGGTGGATGCGAAAACGATGGAGTGTCGCCGGCGAAGTGGCCCCGACGCTGCTGGCGTTCATTTTGGTGGGGGCGCGGCAGCACCCAGCTTTCGTGCCTAGTTATTGAGAATATTACATCAGGACACTCCACACTTTGCTTCGCTTTGCGAGTATTTTGGGAGTACAAGTGGTTGCTGGTTTTAGGTGGTGTGTCTTAAAAAACGGTAGCTCGTTTGACATGTGGGTGGCGTTTTATTATTAGACTCTAAAGGTATCAAAAGTCCTAATATAATATCTTTTCCTGGTTATATATAAGAAAATTAGGAATAAATATTGGACTCAGGACTTAGAGATAAGTTTGGAGCCCAATAAAATCATGACAGAAATTTTTTTAAAAAATTTAGTTTCGCACAAATGAATATTTCTCTCGTGTTATTCATATGTTATTCAGGTGTTATTGTGGTGGTATTCATGTATTATTGTGTTCTGAGAATATTTCTAGTGTTATAATAACAAAATAACACATCAATATCACTACAATAACAACTGAATAACGTGGAATAACACGGGATGAATATTTCCTTGTGTTATCGGGCTTGATCACAAGAAAACGAGTTTTTTTTTTGTTAGTTCCACGTGAAAATGATTCATTAGACTCCGGACGTAGAGTCCGAAGATAATAATTTTTTGAAACTTAGAAACCAAGCGATGATTTACACGAAATTGCGCTAAATTCAACAAATATTGCTCAGATTTTAAAAAGCATAAGGGGTTCTTACATCGTATTGACTATAGAAGAATTATTATATTATTAAATCTGAATCTGCCCGATTATTGTCAAAAAAGTGCCCAAGAATGGAGAAAAAATAGTGAGGAAAAGACTCTTGAAAAGCCCTTTTTTATTTTAAATTACAGAATCAAAAGTACTACTTGTGAAAAGCCCTAAATAGTTTATAGATGATAGGAGAATCACAAGTAAATTATAATATTATCCTTGCATTATTAGACTTCGGACGTAGAGTCCGAAGATAATAATTTTTTGAAAATTAGAAACAAAGCGATGATTTACACAAAATTACGCTAAATTCAACAAATAGTGCCCAGATTTTAAAAACACAAGGGGTTCTTACATAGTATATATTATAGAAGCATTATTATATTACTAAATCTGAATCTGCTCGATTACTATCAAGAAAGTGCTTGTGAATGGAAAAAAAAAGAGTGAGGAAAACACTCTTGAAAAGCCCTATTTTATTTTATTTAAATAATTTATAGATGATAGGATAATTAAAAGTAAATTATAATATTATCATTGCATTAAAAGGTTTAGCACGGGATATTTTAGCCTTTTCGGCCCGACCCTGTCTTTTGACAGCCTTGTACCTCTACAGCTTTGTCATGCATAAATACTAGTATTTAATATCTGTACTATTTATTTATCTTTTTAATTTTATTTTATCAAACTTTACCTCTGCAACTTTCTACTAATGTCGGATATTTTTGGTCATACATTTAAATATTTCAAATCTTAGAATTTAATATTGCAAAACTATTTATTTTGTTAGCACTTTCGTCACTTTCTCTGGTGATCATCCTCAACTGCGATGCTTCCTTCCCTGCCAAGTTGGGTCGGCTTTCTACACCGCTTTATCTTTGCCAACCGAAGGGAGAAACACTTCATCGGTCATTACAAAACTCTTTTAAAGATGTAGATATTGATGGCTCCCTCTCCATCATTCAATGACTCAATAAAATCCTATGAGAGACATTTTCTGATATCATATAACACACTTCTTCTGAGATTCTCTTCGAAAGAGCTGGGAGTAGAGATTGTAATGGAAAAAAAATGTTAGGCTCTCTTCATTCCTTGAAGTGTCAAGACTAAAAAAAAGCTAATTTCTAATTTAGTGTACTGCCTCATTCTTTGTCTAACAATTACAAATACAGCCTTTTTTCAAGCACAAGAGCCCAATGATGTTGTCATCCTAAATGATCTAGCAAAGCTTAATCATTATATTGGACATTCTCTAATCATATATTTTGAATATCTAGAAGCTATTTGACACACGATGCAATGATTTTAAGCCATTTTTAAAATTAAGATTTTACATAACAACCTCCAAAATTATTAGATAAATTATTTTAACCACTCAAATTTTAAACTCCATCCAAAATTTTCACTCAATGCCTTCACAAACGTGTGGGTGGGGGGGGGGGGGAAAATAAAATTTGTAAACACCAATTGATTTAATT